TCTCGAGAGAACTCTACATTCCTTATACTCCATCCGAGATGCAGATTGCAGATGTGCTAACTAAAGGGTTGGCTGCAACAAAATTCTTGAACCTTCTTGGCAAGCTAAACATGACTGACATCCATGCTTAGCTTGAGGGGGAGTGCTAAGTTGACTGATTTTATGTATTGTTGGTTCGACTGATAAGTGTACATGTTAGTTAGTATTGGGTTTTAAGCTGTTAGGTACTGGGCCTTTGTTATTGGGCCTAAGTCTGTTTAGTGTTTTAAGCAGTCTGGGTGTCCCATCACTAATCARGGGCATTCCAGACATTTCATGTAACACTGTATTGTAATCTACTATAAATAATAGTATTGTCGACTGGGTTACTCAGTTCGACATTCTCAGCACTTGTTTGCCTTCACCTCTCTTCTACTACTTCAGCTACAACCTTTCAGCAAACACAGTGTTACATGTATAATCCTGACTCTGCCCTTGATTAAAAATATATATAAAATATACATATAAATATATATATGCTAGTCGGTTCGGTTAACCATTTGTTTTTTTATAGGTTAACCGAAAACCGAACTGGTCCTTCGGTTTTTCAAAAATTCCGAACCGACCAGTTCGGTTAACCACATTTTGCAGTTTGGTTTTCTTGGTTCGGTTCGGTTTTTCGATTTTTCGGTTTTTCATGGACACCCCTACCTGCAACCCATTAGAGAAAGAGAGGGAAAAGCGTTGATTGCTTCAACCCCACTTTAGAGAGGGAGAAGCTACAGGACATAAAACCATCCAAAGCGGCAGCTATGAAGCAAGCCAACAAGAGTACTCGATCTTTTCCTGTCTAGTAGACAGGAAACAAAAACTGTCCACTCTAGGGGGTTGTATAGCTGGCTGCCTTTTGAGAGAGAGAGAGAGAGAGAGAGATTCAGGCAATTGAATAAAGTTCTGAAAAATTTTCACAGGATAAAGATGACAATTTAGAGAAGCAAAGAGACGTGTGAGTATGTATTTCAAGCTTCAACTATTGAAGCAAGATAAAATTTTCTTTGTTTCTTTTTTTTTTATCATGTGTGTGATTAACTAAGAAAATTCAAGATATGTGCTGGTCACCCTCACCCACTATAAACAATATCACTAGAATTTAGAACCAGCTTCCACCTAGTTGCAAGGGTGATGTGAAAGATATATATGAGATAAGGTAATGACTGACAATGCTTACCAAGAAAGTTAGGATGTGGGAACTGGCCTAGTAGGGGAAAAAGGATTAAAATTTAAAGCTGTGTGACTGGTGATGACAAAGCAGTTCAGTTGTATCTTTAACTTCCTTCTCTCTCTCTTCTCAAAAGAGATGGTGGTGGCCTTAACCACTGAACCAGAGCATCCTGATTCACATCCTTAGGCTCTGCTTGGTTTATTCAGAAAACAAGAGAGAGAAAATATCTTTCCCATATCTGCTTGGTTCAACTATGACATGGGAAAGATATAATACTGGAAAAACTTTAGGCCTCTGAGGACTCCGAGGGAGAGATTCAAGCAGTCCATGCCGCAGGTTATTGTCATTCTGATGCAAAAATCCAAACGTTAGTCGTATCTAAGACCCAGAAAAGTATATCAATTGCAATCAAACAAGTGGGTATATAAACTATTCTCCAATTTCAGCAAGTCAGTAGGCAACCTTCGTTTCTGGAAGCAGTGTTATTTGAGCGAACACCTCATCTGTTTCCTTTTCCGCCTGCAAACCAAGAAAAAACCAGCCAAGAACGTTGTTAGAAAACGAAATAACGATCACCTCCCACCTGAACTGAAGGTGGGGAGCAGAGAGAGAAAGATACACAGACAGACTGACAGTGAAACAGACCTTTAACTCAACATTTACAACTGTGCACAGAATGTTGGAAGGTATATGGTAGATGGGCATTTTCAGATCATTATCAAGCTTTGAGAAGGCCTTAACCTACAAAGAATTTAGATAGTCAACACAAACTGAAGAGAAAACAAATGATTATTGTACAGCACTGAATACTCAGATCACAGGAATGAAACAGTGAAAGAGATACAGGAAAAAACAGAACCTGCTTGATGTGTCTGGGAGGTAGAAGACCTTCTCACCGACTCGAGGAACAGCGGCGAGGGGGCCCGCGCATCTCGATTCCAATAGCCATTCGTTCATCGAGAATGTCCCTTTCTCCAGTCCTTGCTTATCACAACAAGGGGCTCTTCCAGTGTTCTTCTATCCCTCTTAAACGAAGCATGAAACCAAGAAAATCAAAGTTTTAAGCTCCAAAATTTTTATAACAGAGAAAAAAATATCGCTTAACTAAATCCTAAAAATTAAAAACCAGTAATGAAGAATGTTTGAGAAGGTAAACCCCATGCGTGAGTGAAAATAATGGAATGGAGTCACTTGGGAGTGGAAAAGCCAGCAATTCATGAAAGCTCAATCAAAAAAGGCAATGAAGAAAGCCCTCATTTTTTTGAGAGTGCTGATGAAGGACTCAGTTCCGTCATAGACCGCTGGAACAGAGCAGAGGAGGGGGTTCTGGGTTTGTTTCGCAGCTCATGGCAGAGAAGATGAATAAAAAATATCCAACCCTCTCACTGTTATTTCTATCCTCCGAAGAGAGAGAAAGAGTATTGACAATTGTTTTTCATGCAATGAAAGGTATTGCCACTTGTTTTTCATGAAAAAAATATATATATATTTTTCAATGAGATTGTAATTTACACTGTTAATTATTGTATTTTTTATTATTTTTTTGTCATTTTTGTCATTTCTTATTTAGCTATGAGGATCAATTCCCTAAACATTGAGAACGTCATCTGTAGTCTTCCTTGGTCGACAAAGTAATCTACCGATTTGGAAATCTCTAATCCCAGTCCAGTGAAGTTAAATCAATCGGATAAGTACAAACGCATCCATTCAACAGGCCGAAACAACTAAAGAAATATGATTCTGATCATCAACTGAGTGAACGAAGCAAATCTTACAGTCGAATAAATTTCTAAACACCACAGATATTATAACTACTGATAGGAAACAATTAAGCAAGAAATGCAATAGGATCTGCAACTCGTTCAAGAAAAAGGAAACAGGATAAAACACGATGAGATCAACGGCCCTTTTAATAGTAAAATCAAGTGAAGAAAAAAAGAAAAATAAATAATCATGGAAACTATTGATTTTCCTCTTTTAATTACTGCCAACACGTTCGCTACTCCTAATTACCGACTCCAAAATCAATTACAGAGGATGGTTTCCCAGAACCTCATTGCCGCCTCTGTTGGTTGACAACCGGATGCAACATTAGAGAGAAGAAAACGAAAATGAAATTTAAAGAAAGAAAAAAAAAAAGTTGCAGAGTAAGTTAGAACTTACCTGATATGGGATTTTGGCCTGATCCGATCAAGAGAACAGGGGAGCTTCGGCTAAGATCATGGTTTGAAATAGATGGCTGCAGCTGGGGGAACAAAGCAATGCTGACTGATGCCTGACCAATGTTTTAAAGAGGGTGATGCTGCAGGCGAAGAACTACTTTGGGAAACTGTAGACGAAGAAAGAGACGAGATTTAGACTTCTGGCAAATCCGTTCATGGCACCGTAGCTCTTGGAATTGAACCCTATGCATCCCAACAGTCCTAAGAAAGTTTTCTTCTGCATCTCCTCCGCTGAAGCAGTTCAAATCCTGAACATTCATGGCACCGTAGCTCTCTTGAGGAACCTGTAGTTTTGATGGCACGCGTGTGGTGTATAGTCTCAATGGCAAGCAGGAAGAGAAACCTTGAAGAAGAAGCGATGGAAGTCCCCGGTTTTTCAGAGGAAGTGGAGAGAGAGAGAGAGAGAGGGGAGGTAGACGAAGAAAGAGACGAGATTTAGACTTCTGGCAAATCCGTTCATGGCACCGTAGCTCTTGGAATTGAACCCTATGCATCCAACAGTCCTAAGAAAGTTTTCTTCTTATCTCCTCCGCTGAAGCAGTTCAAATCCTGAACATTCATCGCACCGTAGCTCTCTTGAGGAACCTGTAGTTTTGATGGCACGCGTGTGGTGTATATAGTCTCAATGGCAAGCAGGAGGAGAAACCTTGAAGAAGAAGCGATGGAAGTCCAGGAAGTGGAGAGAGAGAGAGAGAGCGGGGAGATAGACATGGAAAGAAATGTGTCGAAGGAAGAGAGAGAGAGAGAGAGAGAGAGGAGTAGTGAGACGAAGTGGTAAGAGGATGGGGAGACCTGGCAAAAAGTTCAGGAAATATGAGAAAAATGTAAACACGCGTCGTACATGCAAAATAGAGGGAGAGACAAGTGGTTATTCATGCAAACTGCACTTAATAAATAAAGCAAACAACAGTGTTGAACAGTAAGATTCTGTTTTGCGAATGGGAAAGTATCCTTTCGCTTTAATATATATATAAGATGGGTAAATTCAATTTTACCTTTCCTCTCCCTCCCCCCTTCTTATCTAATGAACAGAATCCGGTAAAAAAAAAGCTCATAGATGTTTGATGGGAATCAAATCAACCATCATTGATAAATTTCCACTCGGATCAGTTTATTTATCCTTTTGCAATTGCTTCTACATTAGAAATGTTGCTCAAAATCACCCAAATCCTTCGTCCATGTTTCATGTAATCCACCAGATTTAGCACAAAACTCCTTAGTTTTTCAAGTTTCAGTCAGCAAATAAACAACACTAACAAGAACAGAAAAGTACATTTAGGTTTTCAAAGAAAATCATTGAAAATTACGCAAAAATTCCACTGTTCTCAATGATTTTTGACTTGTTGAGATCGCATGAGATTCTTGTCAAAACACAAAATTGAAGTCAGTAATAAAGAAAAATGAGATGAAACATAGGAAAAGGTTATTAGAAGATCAGTTGTAGAGAGCTTTACAAAGGGAGAATGACAGGATTTTACTTTGAGAATGGTTGAAGCATTGATTCCTATAGAGAGTATAATTTTGGTCCGTAGGGTCCTTTCATGATGTTGCAAACCTTGTTCCAGCAATCTTCTTTGTTTTGATAAATGGGAACTCGGTCGTCAAAAACAAGGTTTGCACAATCACATGCCAAGTTGTCATGGACCAACAATCCCTCTCTTTTTCTTTTACCTGAACAACTATCCCTCCAGCAATGAAACCTCTTCACACACGCTGAGGATTGGCTACGGTTGCCTGGGCTTCTTGCAGAAGGGTAATCTCTTTCCCTAGTTTCTAATGTAAATCCTATTTTCCACCCGATTTTGATGTAAATCTTACCATCTTCGCCACCGTTTTATATCCCCATTCATTTTCCTCCAATCCCTTTCGGTTTCCTATCACCCAATGGATAATCCCTTGTTCCATTGCAAACAAAACATCTCATCACCCCTATTTGGTTATCCACCAAATGTCTCCTCAAGAAACATTGGTGTTTTTGAAGATATAATCTGAAAACGGATGTTGCTTTCTATGATTCCACTCTCAAAGGTCCATTATGGGAAGAGATTTCTAGATAATTGTTTACTTGCTTGGAGCTTTTGATTTATTTACCGATGAGAATGGAATGACGGCAACCAAATTCCCACATGCAATTAGGTTCAGCTAGAGCGCCATAGTTATTCACAGACATGGCGAACGCAGAAACCGAATTCCCACAGGAAGGGTTCGTTCACGCCATGGGTTGCAGGGTCTGATGCAGTTCAAGATAAGTTTGGTTTTGTTGCAGAGATCCCTCATTCTCTCTGTCTCCCTCTTTTCGTCACTGACGACTTTTAGTGCGAGAATGAGGAGGAGGCTTTCTGTCACTGACGACGATTTTGTCCACTATGAGTCCTTGATTTTTGCTGACGACGTGTTTAGCGCGAAAGTGAAGAGGAGCTTTTCGTCGCCAACGGAGATTTTGGCCGCTACGAGTCCTAGATTTATGTCGTCGATGATCTTTAGCGCGAGAGTGAAGAGGAGCTTTCCGTCGCCGATGGCGATTTTGGCCGTTGCGAGTTATCGATTTTTGTCGACGACGTCCTTTAGTGCAAGAGTGAAGAGGAGCTTTCCGTCACCGACGACAATTTTGGCCGCTGCGAGTCCTCGGCTTCTATGGTCGATGACCTTTAGTAGTGGAAGAGTGAAGAGTAGCTAGAGAGGATACCTTCCCTCTGAAAATCAATTAGTAGGGCAAAATGGACATTTGACTTTTTCCACCCATGCTTAACGATTTCTGGATAGATAATTAAACAATAAAGGTAGCGTTAGTCAATTTTCAAACATTAAAGGGATAGACAATTAAAGAATAATTAGTCAATTTTCAAACATTAAAGATAAATTTAATCAATTAAACTATAAGGGTAATTTAAGAAATTTACCCTTATTGTTTGAAAATTTATTTAAAATTTTTTAATTTTTTTTATAGGATAAATTACAAAGACCCCTGTACTGGGGTCTGTGACAAAGAGACCGTGTACTTTGTTTTGCACAAATGTACTATGACCATGAGACAAAAACTTCATTTTTCGTTAGTCTTTCGTCAAAAAAGACTGTTACAATATTTTTTAATTTTCATACTACCCTTACAATAACTAGACAATAAAAATATAGTTCATCTTCCCCAACGTTCTGATGTTTCCCTTCCGTTCCTTACGACATGAAGCTTTTTAGCCTTATCTCTCTTTCTACTCCTACTCCTCTTTTGGACCTAAACAATTGATATATGAGAGATATGTCGAAAGCGAGGATGGACATCAAATAACAGATAACCCATATCAGAATCTCAGACTCAATTCATACTTCAGAAGCTAAATACGGGCAAATGAACAAATATTTTAACAAGTAGACAGCACACATAACGAAAGAAAAAACCAATCCCGAATCTAGAATCGTAAAATTAAATTAGAAAAGCCCTAAAAGAAAACAAAATTATGGAAGACAGAAAGAAAGAGAGCAATAGAAGACATCAGAGGAAGGCTTAACGTGCTTCTTCTTGTGAGATGACGAAGATTTTCTTATGGAGGAGGAATTACCGGCAGCCATTGGCTTTAGTTCAACCTGCAACAAACAAAATAAAGAGAAGCAAAAAGGAAAAAAATAAAAGACAAAGAGAAAGCATAAAGGGAACAGATAGATTGAAAGAATTGAATGTAAAATTGAAGAATTATCCGATCCCTGTTTCGGTGGTACAGGCTACTGCAAGCCTCAGGTCTTCAGAGGAGTGCTCGCTCTCTCGTTGCTAGCAGCGGGTTCCGTGAACGCATTGTACAGGGGGGTTTTGACAGTACGATGACTTATTGTCAAACGAGGACTTGCATAATCGTTCTGTGGAGGAATCATTCTCAAGCGAGGACTTGCACAAGCTGCAACTGATTTTTGGGATGAAAGCGCGCACGGATGGGAATTGAAACTCGGCTCAAGGATAAGATCCCTGAAATCCAGGCAATGGAGCAGATCCTAGATACAGTACCTTTCGCCCCTGTGATAACGTTGCCCTAAAGGCTAAGCTTTCTAATAGCTTGAAGTTGGGCGATCTTCTCGATGATATGGGCAAACATCTATTATTGGGCTATCAAGCATTGCAGTTTTTCATGATTGCGGCATTATCGACGATAGCTAGAGATTGAAGAAAGAGAAGAGAAGAAAAAGAAAGATGAGAAATGGGTTTCCTCCGGTAGTTTCATTTCCGAGAGTTGAGAGAGGATGGTGAGGGAAAGAAAAAGAAGAGAAAAAAGGGAAAATAATAGGTTTTAAGAGAAAAAAGACAAAAAAAAAAAGAAAAAGTTTAATGGGATATTTTGATAATTTAATGCATTCCATCATTTGACTTAACGTTCAAGGGGGTTGTCTCATGGTCATAGTTAGACCTCTTCATGGGCCAGGTGGCCTGACGGGCCGGCCAGGCTCCCGGACGGGCTTGAACATGTAAATGGGCCCATGGGTTTAACCTCGGGCCAAAAAGCCTGGCCCACAATAAATTCAAGCCGGGCTCGGGATTTGCCAAAATAGCCTGGCCCGGCCCGACATATAATTAAAGTTAAAAACCCTAGTCGAATATCCCTCTTTCTTTCAACTCTTTGGCTCTTTCACCTCTTTTTCTAGCTGAACCTTTCGTCTCCACATCCTCCACAGTTCTCAGTCTTCACACTCTCAGGCAGCCACACAACCGGCGAAGCGGCGAACGTTCGCCGGCACAACAACTCTGGCGGTGAGTCCTCTCCTTCCCTCTCTCTCTCTCTCTCTCCTCTCTCTTTCTTTATCTCTCTCGTTCCTCTTCTCAAATCTCATACACCGGTGACGGCGAGGCGGCGGCGGTGAGTTCTCTCTCTCTTGCTCAAACGCGAACTGATCACTGTTAAAATCGCAGGTCGTAGCTCACAGTCACCGCGAACTCAGCTCCAACGAACACAATCATTGGCGGTGAGTCCTCGGGCTTCGGGATTTTTATCAGGACCGGGCTTGGGCCCAAGTTGTAGGCCCATTGGTCGGGCCGAACTCGGGTTCGAACCTAACAAATTTCCATTAATGAAGAGTAAAAGCCCGATCCAAACCCGGCCCGGCCCATGAACAGGTCTAATCATAGTACAGGGGATATTTTGTTGCAAAACAAATTACACGGAGTCTTTATAATTTACCCTTTTTTATAATCTAAAAAATCCTTGCCTATCGTTAACGTACCTTACAATCTATTCTATGTATCTCATGACTTAAATAATTTTCTTAGTTTCAAACATTATTCTTTTATCATTGATTTTTGCCCTAATTATTCATTAAATTTTCAAAACAAAACGCAAAAGTTGCATGTCAACTCCCACTCCTCTTCAATCACCTCACCGATGATGGCCCGATGCGTCCCCCATGACCTAGTGGCTCTCCACAGGAGAATGTTATTACAAACTGCCCCTTCTTAAAATCTGTGAATCAAATTGAGAAGAGAGGCGGCGGAAGTAACTATTAATCATCTTTCCTCCTGAACTCCAAAACAGAATCTATCTCTCTCGCTCTCTCTCCTCTTATTTAAAAATTTTTCGAAATGTTTTAGGGCTTCTATGATTGAAAGAACAGGGAATAAGGTGGTAGTTATAGAGTTGTGCATCGAGCAATTCTCACGAATTTCTCCTTTGTCCCTGTTAACTCAAGGTTTTAGGATGAAGCTCCGTCTTCACCGGTCAAATGAAGGTTTTGTTTAGACCTCAAAGTGAAGATCCCAATAATCGAACTCATGAACACAACAGAAAAGCCAAGCACACTAGTTTGTAGTTTCTGGATTTATTGCTCAATTCAACAATCCAAGCTGCACCACGCCATCACCCTCAAACGCAGAAAACCAGGTTCTTTTGTTCACATTTATTTCATACCCTATATTTTTCGTCAATTGTGTTCAATATTTCCATTTTTTCTTTTATCTGATACTTAGGTATTTGGGTGATGGGTTGTTACAGCTTTCGTTCCTTTCGTTCATGGAAACTGTTCTTACTTACGATTTATCTGGTTTTGTAGGCTTCGGTATGGATTTGCAGGTGCCTTGGTTTTTCTTCAACCCCTACTTGACGTGACTCTGTGCTAGAGTTCTTTTCTAGTACTTCAGAAATGCATCGTGCTTCTGCACCTTCAGAATTACATCGCTTCTGTGCTGGAGTTCTTGGGACGGTCTACAAGGCGATATTGGAAGATGGGGTGCACGGTGTTGGTGGAGAGGCTCAAAGATGGGAACCCACGTTCTGAAGGACTTCGAACATCACATGGATTTTGATGTAGTGCGATCCGGTCATTCCTACCTGGCACTCGCGTGGCTCTTGAGAGGTACCTGAGACGAGAGGAAAGAAGAACTCCCGAGGGTTTGTCCGGCGGGAACACTCTAATGATTAAGTCAATATTCTGTACAAATAGCAAAGGGAAAATGAAGGCTAAGAGTGCGGATTGCATAGGTGATTCGAATATACCTTGTTCCTTGAGAATAAGCCCCTTATAACAGAATTCCGTTGCTTCAGGCCCTCTGGCTTCTGACAGGGCAGGTATAACTGCCACTGTCAGTCTGTCATAGCCGTTACAGGCAAGGCTGAGGTGGCACGCGTGGGGCAGTCGTTGCAGGATACGTGCCTGTAAGGTGCGAGACACCTTTTTAAAGGTGACAAGCGCGGCGCTATCTGACGAGGGACATGTCTGCTGTCCACAGATTTGTCGAGTATGGCGGTCGAGCAGGAAGCCTTCCTGTGGTATACCGAACTACTCTTCCGCGAATTACCCTGAGCCGGAATGTCTCTTGAGTGACGAGCTGCCTGTAACAAGTTATGCCGAGCTGGCTGACCCGAGGTGTCTATGCCTCGGGGTGTCCAGAGATGGATCGGTGCATTCCTGTCTAGGAGTGGCTCGAGGTCCATTAGGAGGAGCTCGGGCCTTAAGAGAGGTCAGGGCGCCCCGAACTCGGAACGCCCCGAAGTGCCTTAACCCCGGGGAGGAGGTGCGGGTAAGGCGGCTTTCGGTGAGTAGTTTACCCACCCAGTTGCCGAGCTGAACTCGGTGGGACTTTCCCTCCGAGTTGTGGTCACGTCCGTTGCGCTATCATGCTGAGTCACTGTTTGAGCAAGGTCACGCCCACGTGTACCCGTGCTGCGAGGTCGGGCCAAATCACCCTCCATCAATTGCCCCCCACTCCCTACGCTGGCGGCAATGACCCAACGCGGGGAGGTCATAACACGCCGGGTGGATTTGGCGTTGGTATTCATGCCGCTTTGTCGCGCGCTCCGTCAAGCTGGACCGGTCTAGCACCCGGTTTGATCAAAAAAGACTCGAGTCGCATCTGGATTACACGCGGATCTCACGCGATTTAGACTTCACGGACGTCAAAAGCGCGCTAAACCATTTTTGCCTCGAGGAACCCGTAGTTGTGGCTACAGATAGGGGGACCCTTGGCCATTTTCTTCGCCACAAAGCTCTCGTCATTAGCGTTTGAGCTCGCGTCGGAGGTCTCTTAGCTCGGGTCTTCCAGTTTGTCCTATTCTCCCAGTCCGATTGCGTTCCTTTGGTGAGTCCCCCCGAGCTCCTTTTCTCTTTTCAAATTGTTTTTCCCATCAGTTCACTATATCCTCTAGTGTAGACAGTCTTATCGACGAGCCCGAGGTGGGTACCTCGGCTTGGGGTGGCTCTTCTGCTGCTCAGCCATCCAAAGTGCGGGTGGCTTTGGGTCATCTAGCGTCCACCTCCCACTGAGGTCGGGAGCGAGATCAGTTCGGCCCTTCTATAATGACTTCGGAGAGGCTTCAGGACCTCATACAGAGGTTCAACCTCCCTAGGGAATACTCATATAGCCTTCCCACCGGCAACTTTCCATGGGAGTACGGTCCTGACGAGATCGTGATCTTTAGGGAGCAATTGATAGCTGGGCTCCGACTTCCTCTTCACCCTTTGATCGTTGATATGTTGGTACACTTTAACATCACCCTGGACCAACTCCACCCAAATTCCATACGGAATGTGGTGGGATCCATTTCCCTTTTCTTTGATCGTTCCCTCTCCATAGATTTAGATATTCTCAGCACAATTTTGGCCATAAAGAAGAGCGCTTCGGGCGCTCTCCCCGGGCACAGGCGGTCCTACTACCTGTCCCCCCGCCCGGGTTTCAAACTCATGCACAAGCTCCCGAGCAAAGTTCTAGCTTGGAAGCGGGACTACTTCGTAGTCCAGAGCAGCACGGGGTGGCCCTTCCCCACCGATTGGAGGACAGCCGTTCAAGACCCCGGTGTCATCCTAGACAGGAAGACTAAGAAGGTGCTCCAGTCACTAGATCAGCTCGGGTTGAATTATAAAGACTTCACTCCCGAGGAGAAGCTCATCCAAGCGAGCTTGAGCCCGGGTAGGTTTTCCTTCACTTCGGCTTTCTATTCATATGTTTACTTCGGGTTGCTGATGTCGTGTTTCGCTGCAGGTCCCATGGAGGCGGATGAAGAGAAAGAAACATGTAGCCAAGAAGGCACGCATTGAGTCCCCGCGAGCTTCAGTCGAGCCCCAACCTTCGCAGACTTCAGCCTTGGGGCCCGAGGTGGTAGCGGCGCCTGTCATCGACTTGGAAGAAGGGGTTGTGCCTCAAGGGCCCGAGGTGATAGCGGAGCCTGCCATTAGGCCCACCGAACCTGCTGTCAAGCCCACCGAACCTGCTGCCAAGCCCATCGGACCTGCTGGTGAAAGCGTTGCCGAGGCCAATGCTGCTGCTGCCGGGGCTCATCCTGCCAAAGCTGTCGCCGAGGCCTCTGAGAGTTCCACTTGTGATGTGGAAATGACGGCATCCAGCTCGGAGGGTCAGGGGAGCCAAACCGTCCTAAACTTCCAGTGCAGCCTAAAGAAGAGCAAGTTGGCTGCATACCCAGGGGAGGTCAATGAGTGGGCCGAACTCACGCCTGGTCAGCTCGACGCCCGAGCTACCACTCATACTATGGTGGTGAGTCTTTCTTCTTGACCGGTTTCCCTTTTGCAGGTGAACACCGCCATTCGCGCCTTGACCCTTCAATCAGATCGGCACCTGAGGCGGGCTCTGGAGGCTGAGAAGTCATTTTGCGCAGCCCATACTGAATTGAGGGCATCTCGCTGTCAGGTCCACCACCTGGAGAGTGACGCCTCGGCTCAGAAGAGCTTCATCGAGGTGTTAATGGCAGAGAAGGGGGAACTGGCCCGAGACAAAGACAAGCTGAGGGCCGAGGTAAACGGCCTCAAGGTCGGTCAGGAGGC